GTCCCCATTCTTTATTTTCATAACCACTTTGTAGTATTAAAAAATATGCCACATGACATATTTAATAGGTTAACGGTTAAATTTAACGGGTCGTTACGGCTGGACCCATTTTGAGTCACGAAACGAAACTTTAGACGTCAAACTAAAACGAAATAAACGTTAGACACTAAACTGTAAAAGCGGACATATGTTGGGCACCTTTGCATTTATTTATTCCACTTTCTTCTCCTTATCTCTATCGAAGCACTTCCTCTCTTTATCTTTAAGCACCGCTGCCGTTATTTGTCGAGCAAGGTCGCCCGTGTGGTTGTTCGATCGAGATCCTTCATCGTTATTTGCTTTGTCGTCGTTCATGCTCGATAAGGGGTGGAAAATCGTGACCTCGCCGCTGCTCGGGCTGCCCATAGCTGTTCACTGTCGTTCTCGGGGTTGGGGATGTTTGCAACGTGGCCAACCAGTCAGTTTCGAACTGAGCAGCACCTTAAATGCACGGGTTCTTCTGTTTAACATTTTTGCTGCTCTCTTTGCGCTACCGTGAGGACTGCTGTTCGCCGGGATGGATTGTTACCATGGTGTTGTGGCACCGTTGTCGGCGGTTCGAGGTCATGACAGAATTGACAACCTCCTTTGTTCAAATCGACAAACTTGAATCGAGTCGAAACCCCGCTGCCCGATTTCTAATTCGAACCGATAATTATTTTTAATCGACATTAAATTTTTTCAGTAATCTAAAAATTGTTGAATTGGGATATTAAATCGGATGTTATTAATTTTACAGGAGAAATCAAATCGAGAATCAAGTTACCGTCTCCTCTGTCATTACCTACAAACTTCGAACCAAACCATATAGCTCGTGTCGACCGTGCGTGTTAACTGATAAATTTTATTACATAAAATTCGTAGTTAATTTAGAATAATCTAGTAACTATTAAATTATTTTGTAGATTCTAATTTGGCTTGACCTTCTGCTCGAACTAACCTTGATAGAGGGTATTATCGACGTTAGCTTTTGTCAAGGTGTGTCTCTACCTAGTGCTATATATATATATATTCGTTTGAATGATTGATTGTTTGGAATTAGTGGTGAGCATGATTGTTTTGTGTACTGTTGCATTAAATATAATTCAGTTAAACATGTTGTTTGAAAGTTGGTTTCGAGCACGATGGTTATGTTATATTGTTGTATCAGTTGAAATTCAGAAAATTATGTTATGTGACATGTGATATTTATCAAATTCAGATTATGTCATGTGTTCGAACTCTATAATTAGGTAATTGCATTCTCATTCGAATCAAATCGAAATTCGGATATATGATATTCAAGTATATGTTATTCGAATATGTGTTATTTGGATCGAATCAGATATCAGATATGTGTGTCATTTGCATATCATATTGGGACGAATTTTGATAAAGAAAATTCAGTGCATTCACTCGACGGGGTGAATGTCACCTTTTCGGGGTGAATGTGTGGGTTGGAATTAGTGAAACCCACTCTTATGGGTGAAATTAGAGTACGAGTGGGTGCATGAACATTTGCATAACATTCAAATTTATGTTATCACTGTCTGACTCGAAATTGTGATTTATTATTGGTTGATTCAGATTTGATTGTTTTTTGTTGTTCGGATTATGATATGATTGCAATTGCTTGCAACTTATAGGCATACTAAGTTTAATAATTTACACCCCAATGTTTATTTCAAATACTCAGAATTACGTTAACCAATATTTGGAGAGTTTTAACGATTATTTTCAAATAAATTATTATTTAGTAGGAATTTTAATCTACTTTTCTGTTATCAAACATTTATTTATTTTTAGATTTATTTTTATTATTATTTGTAATGGGGACTTTTGACATTATAATTAATTTTTGGAACTGTTATACATAGGGATGGCCACTCAATCCAAACCCGACGGGTCCGACCAGATCAAGTTAATTTTTTTTTAAAAAAAATCAGATTCGGGTCGGGTTTTTTTAAGTGTGATATTCGGGTCGGGTCGGGTCGGGTCGGATTTATGGTGAAAAATACACTATCCGACCCGGAAAATATATATAATTTTACCTTATATATTTAGGAATAATTACAATAATACCCCTCTATATATACTTTTTTTTCAATTAAGTCACTATTTTTATTGAATAAAAATATTTTTTTTTATTATTTCGGGTCGGGTTTCTAAGTCATATATTCGGGCTGGGTCGGGTCGGGTCTCGGGTGGAAGTTCCCTTGTTCTCGGGTCGAGTGGACCAAAAAACCGACCCGACCCGACGCATTGTCATCCCTAGTTATACATGTTTTGAATATTTATCCTTTATATTTGGTTTTCTCGAACATTTGTTTTAATAAAATTATGAAGTTGGAGTTTAAAAATTTATTTCATTAAATTACAATGTAAAATTTTAAAATTTGAATCGAACATGATTTGTTTGAGGGAAAAGATTTCAACTTGACTCTCTAAATTCAACTTAATTTCTTAGGTCAGGTTTAGGGGTTATAAGATATACACTTTTCAAATAAAACATCCCAAGCATATGCATTTAACAGTCCAACGCTGGATCGAACTAAAGCTAGTAATACCTTGAGACCTAAGTTATCATGATTAATTTCTCAAATGCAAAGTGATCAGAAGGATTAGACATCCATAATGCAGAATCATATACCTTAGAGAAGGATGGCCCCTCCTTAGTGTCTGTGTACCAATAAAACAATCCTTCATTGTTGTTGAAGCTCACTGCCAAGGATAAATACATATACAAACATGTCCTCCAAACATCAGGGCCTTTCAAGTTTGTCCACATAGCTTTGGCTGCTTCTCAGAATTTCTGGTTTATTTGAGTTAGGAAGAAGAGAATATTAGGAGTATGGAACTTAGAGCAGACAAGGGCTCAATATATAAAAGCCAAAGAACACCTCATTATAGGCAAAGTTGGACACTTGGGGCTCGGAAAGAAGAATCTCGACTAAAGATACAAGTGCGGCGGGGAGAGTCGGCAATCCGAACACCCCCTGTCAAGGAAGAAGATAAATACTTAGCCTGTATATTGGTTTGACTAAAGAAGAAATGTTGCTGAATTTGACTGCAAAACCCAAACAGCAGCCAACCTTTGGACCGATCAGGTGTATGAAAACACCACTAATAGAGAACCCCAGTAATCCTCCAAAATAATAGCTCAAAGAACACAAGCTTTGCATGTCAGCTGCACGAGAAGGATGAATAATGCTGTTCTGTGCCACACAAGCATCAACGGTTACATCTGCTACGGCCACCGCCGTATTCCCCACTGTTAATGTCAGGAGGGAAACTGCCAGTAGCATCTTACTTTTCAATGATATGAAAAGCATTGAAATTACACCAAGCAAACCTGAGATTAACATTTACAAGTCAACAAACGGAGAATCATAAGACTACTCATCAAACAATAATCATAATAACCTATAGTTTTATTTCATTGTCATTTTCTAATTAATGTTTCGCCAATTAGGATTAGGCTGAACATTCAAGATATGTAAGCTGTGGTATGATACATGATATATATGCACCAGTTACAAATGTAAGGATTCGCGAATAACTATGGCAGTTTCTCATAGGCAATGAAAGAAGGGTTAGAAATAAAAAATGTGCCGTTTACCAGATAAAATGAAATAAGGCCTTCTTCGATACCCCATTATTGGAAGAACATCTGTGAGAAGACCCCAAACAGGCTTGATAATCCAAGGGATGGAAGTAATCCCTGAATAAACCTAAGCCATGGAAGGCTGCACCTTCTGAACATCCTTCATGTAGGTTCCAATGCGAGAAAGAGCGCTCGGAACCCCTGTTTTATCCCATAAATGGATACAACTCCAAATACGAAGCTCCAATGCATTTCCTCCGCGTCTTCCTCCACAGCCTTCCTACAGGCTTCCTACATTAACGTAGTCGTTTTGGTTCACCATCTTCCTCCTCAGCCTTCCTACAAGCTTCTACATTCTCTTCTTCCACCATATATGTATATATATATATAGCCTAGTAAAAATCAAGCAATGATTTTGGTCAAACTCAGCTTGTTCATAAACATTCTATCAACAGCAACACTAACTAGCTGCGACTCCAAGAACAATGATGAAGCTTCAAATTTCTATATTGGAAAAACGAGTCGACCAATAAAAAATATTCCCTCAAATGGATTCCATGAACTTTCTTACACCCTTTTCATTAGTATCTTCAGGAGGGCAAGAGCAATACATATTAGGTCTCAAGCAGATGAAAGATTAGATCTTTTCCTGGATGGAAGTAGTTTTTTTGGATACCGGATTTGACCAAACCTTGATCTGTTCATAAAAGATGAAGAGAAACGGAACACAGCAGAAAAAAGAAGAAAAAAATAGTTTAATTAAATCTACTAATATTTGGTAAGTTCTAACTTATTTACTTGTTTTATTCTTTGTGACGAGCCCCATAAAAGATGCTCAAGTGGGCAATCGGAAACTATTATTATGCAACTTGGGTTAGTTTCAAATGTGAATAGTAAATCTGGATCGGGTTAGAAAAAATGAAAATATTTTTTTTATGTAGGAAAATGTATATTACCATGGCTGAATTATAAAAGGTTTGATTTTTCAGACACGGCAGGATCCTGTTTGTCCCATACGAGTTTGGACCTGGCATAGCACAACACTTTCTTTCCATCTTTCTTTATGCTCATATCCTAAAAGGGCACCATGTCCAATGTTTCTGGATGTCGAGAAATAACAAAATGAGGAGGGCTAAAAACGATAATAATATTATGTTGTACCGATAAATATTAATTTTAATGATAAAACATAAAAGACATTTTTTTAGTATTTTAATATAAATTTAAAATAGAAATAACATGGATTTGAATCACTTAAAAGATAATTATATTTTAAAAAAATATTGGAGGAAGGAACAATTTTAATGATTATTTGTTTTCTTTTTATTTTTTGTTATAGAAATCAGATGTGAAGACGTGGAGCCAGGCTGCGCCTTTGGTGAGAAGTTGACGAATTTGTGGTTCTCAGAAGAGTAACTTTCCCGCAAGCAACACCCAGACCCTTCCCTCTTCTCCTTCTCCTTCTCCTTCCTCCTAGAAACCAAAAATTACAATCGCCAATACAAATTCCATGGCTTTATCTTTAACTCCATGTCTCCCTCGCACTACTCATCTGTCTAGGTCCCTTTCCACTGCAAAACTAACTAAACCAAACATAATTCCATCATTTCTCGGTTTCAAAGCAGTGAGCTTCAGAAACAACCAGATAAGATGCCATGCAGTGACTGATTTGAAGAGTGCATCTTCTCTCGATCAGAGCAAAGGAGAAGGTGATGATCACAAGGCTGTTATAGGTCCATCAAGCGAGGAGGATAGGATCGTGGCAGATTATAATTGGACAGAGGAGTGGTACCCACTTTACCTCACCAAGGATGTACCCGACGATGCTCCTCTTGGTCTCACCGTGTTCGATCAGCAGCTCGTCTTGTATAAAGATGGCAACGGTGTGCTTCACTGTTATCAAGATCGATGCCCTCACAGGTAAATCTCTTCCCATTTCATCTCTAACATTCATGATTCTGGCTTTACCTGCCCCCAAAAGTGGAATGAGCTGATTTTTATAACACTCCTGCAAGTAATTGATTCAATGAACCTATAAGATTCCTGGATGCATTAATCTATAGATTCATATAACCTGGTTAGTGTGAAATACCATGTGTAAGTTTGCACTTGAGCTTCGTATTAAAATGATTCTGCTTGTTTTAAGGTTAGCCAAACTATCTGAAGGTCAAATAGTGGATGGTAGACTTGAATGTCTGTACCATGGTTGGCAATTTGAAGGCAGTGGAAAATGTGTTAAGATACCTCAGGTATTCATCTACTTAAATTTTTATTAAATTCATTAGAATGCATTAATTTTTTATGCTGTTATGATTCAACCATGTTGAACAAGGCTTTTATCACAACAGCTTCCAGCTGATGCCAAAATCCCTCGGTCTGCTTGCCTTAAAACATACGAGGTGAAAGAATCCCAAGGAGTTGTATGGGTATGGATGTCACAGACGACTCCACCAAACCCTGAAAAGCTACCATGGTTTGAGAATTTCGCCCGACCGGGGTTTCAAGATACTTCAACTATCCATGAGCTTCCATATGATCACTCCATTCTCCTTGAGAACCTCATGGATCCTGCACATATCCCAATCTCTCACGATAGAACTGATTGGACTGCTAAAAGGGAAGATGCCCAGCCATTGCTTTTTGAGGTAACGGAACGTACGGATAGGGGCTTTGCTGGTTGGTGGGGTAAAGAAAAAGATGGGTCAATGCCCAACTTCTTACGGTTTGATGCACCGTGTGTTCTTCAGAATAACAGAGAACTTGTCGATAAAGATGGAGAAAAACACTACTTTTCGGGTCTATTCCTTTGTAGGCCATCCGGACAAGGGAAGTCTATGCTTATTGTCAGGTTTGGAGGAACAAAAAGATCTCCATTGGCAAATATTTTCCCCAAATGGTATTTCCATCAGAACGCAAGCAAGGTCTTTGAGCAAGATATGGGATTTCTGTCATCCCAGAATGAGGTACTCATGAAAGAAAAGGTTCCTACAAAAGAGTTGTACCTTAATTTGAAGTCCTCGGATACTTGGGTCGCTGAATACAGGAAGTGGATGGATAAAGTTGGGCATGGAATGCCTTATCATTTCGGCCACAGTACCATATCTCCACCTAAACTACCTGCTGTGGTAGAACATGCACCGGCAGGCCTTGTTGCGGGAGCTTCGGCATCTGCCCCGACTAAAGGTGGGATCGGAACAATGCATGCTCCGAATTTGGCTAACCGATATTTTCGCCATGTAATCCATTGCAAGGGTTGCACTAGTGTAGTGAAAGCTTTTACTGCATGGAAAAATGGGCTTAGTGCAGCAGCTCTAGTGCTCACTGCTTTGGCAATTCTAGCATCCAGCAAACAGTGGAAGACCTTTCTCCTCGTGTCTGCAACATTGTGCTTGGGTGGAGTGTATGCATGCTCAACTGCCGTGGCAATGAACACAACAAACTTCATAAGAGTACATAGGAGATTGTGATTTCGAAACCAGCATATACCGTGGAGTGTATGACGTAGGTGTTGATTTTTCTTGTATTGCTTCCAAATCCTATGGTTTCTTATTTTCCTTTCATTTCTAGAAAACAGAAAAACAGATTAGACTCTTTATAGCTGGTGTGATCGTTTAACTAAGTTATATATTTACACATTTCCCTCAATGATAAAAGTAACTAAAACCTTAACAGCTTGCCTCAACACAAAGCAAAGGAGAGCAGAATCCCAAGTCTAATTAAATTCATTTTCTTTCCTTTTTATGGGGGTAAAATCTATCAACAACTAGTGCATGCAAAATTAGCGAGTTGTACAATAGTAACTTTAGCCACTTTTTCTCTTTTTCTTTGCTAGCAACTGCATTTGATGCGGATGCATGAACTGCTTCAGCCTCTGCCAAAGCCTTGCGGGTCTCAAATAACTTCCTCATAGCCGCATCGTAAACAGTTTTTTAGTTTCTCTTTCTGCTCACCATTTCCTCAAGCTTTACAACTCGTAACTTCAGTTCCTTCACTTCATCATCATAAGCAACCAATGCCTTCATATCTACTTTCTTTTCCTCTCTTGAGCGTTTCTTTTGTTGCTTCCTGGTTGACCCTCCATTTACTGCTTCATTATGCATAGCAAGTTGGTTATTGATGAGGCTAAAAACATCTGGTCTTGATTCCTCTTCTTCGTTTGCAGCCAGAGCGGCTTCTGCAAATTTCTTCTCGCGTTTTCTCTTGCGACCTCTGCTTCTCTTCTTCCCTTTTTTCTCTTTACCCTCATCATTTTCATGGGACTCCAAAGCACGATCGAGTGAGAGCTGAGGAGGAAGGGCTTAAGCTGAGATCGGCTCCAACATTCCCTGGCCAGATGCACCTAATCCCAACCCCTCACGGACCCATATTGGCCATCATCTTAGAAGCTACACCCCTGGTATGATTTTCCCACTTAGCAACTTGGTTTTTAAAGGCGCAAGACATACCAAGGCGCAAAAGTCTTTTGAAATCTAGGTACAAGGCGCGCACATTTCCTATGCGAGACACACTTTGTGTTAAATTTTTTATAAATTAATTTAAAACATATCCACATCTATTAACTTCTGGTTCACTCCTAAAACATTTAATTTCCTTCCTACACTGTTCCTTTATTATTGTTTATTCCCTCCTCAAGAATCAAGCCCTATTTCTACCATTTACAAAACTTTAAATTCCAAAACATTTCAAAACAATCACGGTTACACACTTGCACTATAACAAACTAATGATTGCATGTTTCAACTAGATAAAACAATAATTTGTCCACACAAATTAACAAAAGAACAAAGAAGAGTAACACCTATCCTAATGCAACATAGATATTATAACTATATTATATTTCAATTATAAAAAATATTATAATTATAAAAATAATTATATATTAATTATTTATTTATATATTAGATATTTTTATATAAAGAAGGGTGATGGGCATAGGCGATAGCATAATATTTATTATATTAATTTATTATAATAGATTTATTTTTATTAGTATAAAGAAATAATAGAAAAGGTGAGAGAGCATACACGGCAGTAAAGTACTTTTTATTAAAAGCAGACAAAATGTGAAAAGGTTATAATAGGCTTGGGCTGATTGATTAATAGGTTAACTTTATGTATTAGGGTTAAGATAGTTAAAAAAATGAGTCTGTCCTAGCAGTTCTTCACCACTGTTTTTCTGCCGCTATTCTTCTATCTTCTTCTTTGATCTATTCTACGTTTTCTTCCAAAAGCAAACAGTGTTGCGCACTCGGAGGCGCGCACCTCATGGCTCCTCTCGTATGCCCCAGGCGGGCAATTTTTTCGCCTTTTAAAACCAAGCTTAGCAAAGATGGTAGTTTCTGTCTGGATACCTCTCCGCCAAGCAGTGCTTTCAAGAAAATCTATACCCCTTGGGCTGTCCTCTTCAGTCACTTGAACCAGATTCTTCAGAGCTTAGTTCACTTTCTTCATCATCGCTCATTTGTGCATATTCAGACAACGACAGGGCTTCTATACCGAGCTCTGCAGAGCTTCCATCGTCCCAGAACACAACCTTTCCCGTTATGAGTTCATCGTTCCATGATACTAATTCAGCTTCCCTCCAGATGGCAACTTTACTATTAGAAACTGCCCAAATACTGGACCCAACCATTGATGGTTCCCACATGGTTGGAGCATACTTCTTCAGTGAAGATAATGGGACATCAACTCCTGTGGACATGAAATGTTAAATTCTGATATAAGAAATGAGAGCAAATAATATTGAACAATAAGCTAGAGCATATACAGGCCATACCACAATCAACTTTGGAAAGAAATGGACTTATAATTTAACAAAGTACAACCTTTTGGAGCACACAGCATGGTAACAGAGATCTGTCAGCTAATTCTTGTCCCCGCAAATAAGTGCTCCATACAACTAGCCGATGGCAATACTGAAGGTTAAAATGCAAATATAAAAGTATCTCACAAATGTTTCATTTTACATGTCTTTCATATAGAATAGATTTCTTAGCTCGCCATCTAGAATTGACAGGGTTTATGCAAAACGACAATTCTTTGTCTTTGTGATATTCTCCATACCATAAGGTTAATGTTTCCTCATGTCCTTCAGTGCAAGAACACACAACAAGAAAGATGAGGGAACTTTTGGTTCACAACCTACTAGTCCAAAAAACAAAAGACACACATACCATATGATAAGCGGGAACTAGTACCAAATCGCAATCTTTATTGCAGAAAGTACTTACATATCTGCACTTGGGTGCTCTAGCATTAGTAACTGGAAATAGTAAAAGTTGCTTAATTAGCAATAGAGAATATTTCCTCATTCCTTGAAAAAATTACATCCAATTCTCAAACAACTCTCCAAATAAGCAACATGAAGGGGGGGGGGACTAAAAGAACCCGCAGGAAGGTTTCAACTTTTAAAGTATTAACTTTCACAAAAGAACCCACAGAAACAAGTTTAAGGAATTCAAGCTAAAGTATTAACTTTTGTTGAATAATTGGGTAAAGAAAATAGAAAGAACATAAAAATTTTAACGAGGTTCAATAATGTACTTATGTCATCTGTGCCTTAGGCGGCACTACAATTTTATTCAATTCAATGTCTCATAGGTTTAGGTTACATATCTTTTTATAATAAATAAACCCTAAAACATATTTACAAAAATAACCATATACTATACCACGAGACCGCAGCCCCCACACCCCCAACCCATATAATCGTAACCCCCACTATGAGACTTTCTCGGTATATTTATGAGTCATACCTAATAAATCTCCACCTTGGCGAATATCCTACCCCTTAGGAAATATTCAATGTGGGTTGGGTTACCTTACTTCTTTAACAACTCGAAACACTCAACAAGTCCAAACAATGCATGGACTTGTATGTCGTAACTGGCTTGGTGAACATATCAACGACATTCTCATCATTATATACCTTCTGAAACAAAATCTCTCCGTATGCAACCAACTCTCTGATCTTGTGAAACCTTACATCAATATACTTAGTTCTAGCATGATATATCTGATTCTTAGCCAAGTGAATAGTACTTTGATTGTCACAAAGCAACTGAACTCCACCTTGCTGAACACCCAACTCCTTCACTAAACCAGTAAGCCATAAAGCTTCTTTTGCAGCTTCAGCCATTGCCATGTATTCAGCTTCAGTAGTAGATAATGCCACAACAGATTGAACAGTAGACTTCCAACAAATAGGTCCTCTATCAAGAGTAAAGACATACCCTGTCGTAGATATTCTATTATCCAAGTCACCCGTATAGTCTGAATCCACATATCCTACAACTAAAGGATTATCCCACTGACTACCAAAAACAATTCCATGTCCCACAGTACCCTTTAAGTACCTAAAGATCCACTTGACTGCTTCCCAAAGTTGTTTACCAGGTTTAGACATGTACTTACAAACTTGACTAACAACATGAGCTAAATCAGGATAAGTACATTCTATTGCATACATCAAGCAGCCAACAACATTAGAATACGGAACTTTTGCCATATCTTCAGCTTCTTTATCTGTCTTAGGGCACTGTTCTGATGAGAGTTTAAAGTGACTCGCCAATGGAGTGCTCACTGGTTTTGCGCTGCTTATCACAAACCTTTCTAGCATTTTCTCAACATAACCCCATTGAGATAGCCACAGTTTCCTCGAGTCTCTGTCCCTGCAAATTTCCATTCAAAGAATTTTCTTTGCATCACCTAAATCTTTCATGTCAAATTTTTGACTCAAAAAAGTTTTCAAACCGTCATCCATGTTCTTCGCAGCAATTAACTTACCATCAACATACAATAACAGAAAAATAAAAGAACCATCATCAAGGCTCTTAACATAGACACAATAATCATACTCACATCGTTTGTAGCCAATCTTGATCATATAGGAGTCAAACCGTTTGTACCATTGTCTCGGAGACTATTTCAACCCGTATAAAGATTTCTTCAATCTGTAAACTAAATGCTCGTTTCCAAGTTGAGTGAAACCTTCAGGCTGCTGTATGTAGATTTGCTCCTCTAAATCACCATGAAAAAAAGTAGTTTTAACATCCATCTTCTCTAAATGCAAATCCCAACTAGCCACCAATGCAAGTACTGCTCGAATTGAAGTGTGCCTGACCACAGGAGAAAAAATTTCATCATAATCAACTCCTTTCTGCTGTGGAAAACCCTTTGCTACCAAACGAGCTCTGAACTTCTCCCCCTTTTTTTTCTGTTACCGCTGGTTTCTTCTTATACACCAATTTGCAACCAATAGGCTTCTTACCCTCAGGAAGGCGAACTAACTCCCATGTGCGATTGTGATTCAAAGACTCCATCTCCTCAACCATGGCAGTCATCCACTTTTCGTTTTCCCGACTAGTAACAACATCATGAAAAGTAACTGGATCATCACTGCTAACAGTAAGTGCAAAAGAGACAAAGTCTTCAAAACCTAATATGTTTGGAGGCTTTATATTCGTCCATCTCACCCTATCTCTGGCGAGACTATAATACTGCAAATCATCCGTAGCAGAACCACCAGAAGTTTGGTAGAGAAGTTTATGTTTTG